CCACAGTCCACAATCTTGAACCACTTGTGATAGCCCACTTGTAATGTAAGTTTGTTAGTCTGAAGGATATACTTCAGATCTTGATCCTCAGGAGTTTTAGAAGCTTATGTTTAAGAGCCTGAATCCTCTAATGTACGTACGTGTGTGTGTGTGTGTGTGTGTGTGTGTGTGTGTGTGTGTGTGTGTATGTGTGTGTGTAATATCAGGTTTCTGGATTAGGCAAATACCAATTAACTATTTGTGGAACATCTTGTGGGGATTCCTGGCCCTTAGTCTCCAAAGGTGAGGGCAGACATCCCTGTATCAGAGAACTGCATAAACCTGCAATCAGAAGTTTCTGAGTTTTCATAATGCTTTATCTCATTTCCTTCAGAGAGAAGTTGGGTGAAGAAGGGAGGGAGAGGATGTGGGAGGGAGGGAGGAAGGAAGGGAATGAATGAAGGAAGGAAGGAAGGAAGGAAGGAAGGAAGGAAGGAAGGAAGGAAGGAAATGGATTAAGAAAGGGATAGATTGATAGGAACACTGAACTTTCCCCCCATGGAATATAAACAAACCCTTACTAAATAAAAGTAGCTAGGACCTTATGTCTTTTACCTTCCTGATATAAAAAAGTGACTCTGGCAAAAGGAAACCAGGATATCTTTTGAGAGTTGGTTTTAGTTTTCAAGATTTATCTCTGCCTTCCAAGTCTTGTTCAACCCCCCAGAGTCCTTAACCCAGGCTCCTGGCTTTCTTTGCTCTGGAAGAATATTCTATATTCCTCCACTGATACACTTACATTACAACCTGGATATCACAGGTGACCCTAGAGTAGTACAATGGAGACGTTTCAGTGAACCACTTATTTAATTAAGAAGAACCATGCATGTGAAAATAATTAACAGTACACTCCAAAGCTGTATAGTTGATGATATGCAGTAATCTTATGATTGCAAGATAGTGTAGCTCCCTAGGAAGCCTCTTCTTTCATCCTCTATGAGAATTTCACACCTTAGCTCTCTTCAAAATTTCCTTCTATATCCACACACTGTTTGGACTAGTGTTCAAGCGGTTCACAGAGATTTCCTCATCCTGTACCTCCAAAGCCATCAATGTCCACCTCCACGGTCTCTCCATCCTCTCCTGTATCCACTGATGACCACAGATACCCAGGAACCCCCATTTTCATTACCCTAAGCACTTTTCTTCTTCAGCATCTCCACTTTGTGAATATTCAGCTTTCTCCTGACATTTCAATCACACCAAACATCATAGCTACAGTATTCCCTTAAGTGACTTGTTGATTTTTCTTTGCTTAGTTTTCCAAAAGCAGTGTTTACCCATTTATTTCTTCATCTACATCTTTCCCCTTACTTTAGATCTTTCTAGTCTTTTCCTCATAGACAGGAATTGTTTCACTGGATTCTTCTGTTTTTACAAATTTGCGGAAGTTCATTCTTCATGATACCCCAGTCACTTTCTTTAGAGTTGATTTCTCTACTTACCCTACTGGCATCAAGCAAGCCATGGTTATTCAATCTGCATCTCGGTTAAGGAGTTCTATGATATGTATGAAGTACAAACATCAGTTAACTTTCTTTTATGACAGTTTTCAAGCAATAAATCATGGCTGTGGTTGAGTAGAAAATAAAAGGAGAAACTTCTACTTCTTCAATAGTCATTGTCACTAATGCCCTTTTTAAAAGTCCATAGCTACAGTAGTAATATAAGTTAACATCTCATCTTTACAGACTCCAGAAGAATGCTAAGCCTGTTTGAAGCTTGCACACTTCTCTACTTCACGAAAATCTCAGTAACTGAGATATTCCGCTCTTCTGATAGGGATGAGAGCATTAAGAGTTTCAGTTCTTTATATCTAACTATGAAACTCTAATGGGTGTGTCAAAACAATGGTAGGCGAATCTAAAGTCATGCTCTGTGTGTATGTAGTTTTATTTTCACAAAATCTGTTCATTTAACCCATTAAGAAGAGTCACCGTTATGCATGGTGGGGAGCACAGCAGGGATTCGTTTGCAGTTCAGGAACACTGGTCCTGGTTTGACTTTGCATAAATCTCTGGATTATTTTGACAACCTGAGTATTATACACAAGATTGGGGCATATTAACTACACAAGAAATATGCAAAAAAATTGAAATAATGAGACTATGAGACTTTAAACTTCTTAAACCATTTTTATTATTATTTTAGACTTAATTCTCTTAGTAGTGATGAAAGTTTATTAGCTTTCCTGTACTGTTTGGGGTGTGTGTGTGTGTGTGTGTGTGTGTGTGTGTGTGTGTGTGTGTGTGTGTGCCTGAAGCTGGGTGTCCTCTTATATCATTCTCCACTTTATTGAAACGGGGTCTCTTACTAAACCCAGAGCTGACCTTGTTATCCAGCTTGAACAGAGGGGGCCCTGGCTGAGTCCTGGACACTTGCCACCACTGCCAGGGGCTTAGAGTCTAAGGATCCAAACTCCTGGCCTCATGTTTGTGCTCCAAGTGCTTAATCCACTGAGCCACTGCCCAAGGCTCCTTTATATAACTTAAAGAACTAGTTTTAAAAGATAAAAATCAAAGTTAATGCAACTAATATGATGCTCCTTCTTGATATTCAGTCCATTAAAATCATGTAGAGTTTTAACATCTAATAAATATTCATTAATGGCTGTCCATATAGCCAGTAGTTAAACAAGTACCCTGAAAATGTGAGTGTTGGTGGTACATGCACATGTTACAGTGCGTTTCTGAGCTTACTTGGCAGTCAGTGTTAATTTTTAACTTGAGTCTTTCCTAATGAAATTAGCTGAAGATTTTTTCTTCAGTAAATCTCAGTATAGGTCACTTTCCTGTCAGCCACACCTGATACCTGATTTACCATTGTAGCCTTAGCAGTGGCAAGATCAGTGAAGGGTCTCAGATTATATCCTACTTACATGATAATTTATTGTGTAACTGTTCCATTAAGGCAAGATATGAAACCCCTGGGTCAGAGACAAAGCTCTTTATTTTGTTTCAGAAGGCAGGACGGATATCAGCATATCTTATAGTGGTTTACTGAGACCCAGTTCCCAAATGGACTGGTGGTGAACAGGGCCAGAACCTCCCTATATGTGGAGTTGGTTGTGTTATAGCAGAGGGATTTAGCATTTTAGGAACCTCAGTATTTTATAATGGAACGTAAACCCGCCTTGTCTTTGGAGTGCTTTCCCTAAACATCATTTTTATCTTTCAACTCTATTCCTACACAAATATTGTTTGAAAGATATTCTGTAGCAAAGGACAGGCTAAGTCTCTGCTAGACAAGACAGGTAGAACTCCAAGACAGGTAGAATATCCATGCAGCAGGATCACTCAGAAGGCTGATCAAATCCTATACCTTTCAAAGGTAAAGGACTCAGTCCTCCTCATGAGTCTCTATCTCATAGATCAGGATTGTGACTGAAATTGCTTATACTCTGAAGGATGAATCAATCAAGCCACTCTGTGTCTAGTGAAGAACCAGCCTCAGCAACCATCTTAAGAAAAAGAGAGGGCTGTAAGTAATCTGTAGTTATTGGCTCTGACACATGGGTACAGGATCTGGATTAAAGAGTGGTATTGTAGATTAAGGCACTGATATTAAGGAGGCCAGTCAGCACACAGGCCATTTGAACATTTTAGATTACTCCCTGCTGACCAGTCTGGCTAGCAGAGGCAGCTCTCTGTGTTGCTGTCCATAGGTCCTTTCCTGGTGAGTACATACTGTGGATATTTTCTAAGTCACAGAACCAGAGAGAAGAATATAGCTGGGTTTTAGTCAGCCATTACCTCATGGTCAATGTCAACACCCCTCCCCTCCCTATTCCCATCGCTTCTTGTATTACTTTTGAGAAATATCAGATATTAGATACTTTATTTGCTTTAGTTTTTCTCAAGCAAAAGGCATTTTTTTCCTCTCTTGCTTGCTCATTGCAGTCAAGGTTTATTCAAGTGTGTGCCATTTGGCAGACAACCTGCACAAATCACATATTTGAACCTCATTAGGGGCTTGGCATGTAAGTACACTCTCCTATACTTTTATTTTGTGTTCATTCTTTAACAGTATTCTCTTTATTTTTGCCCATGATGTTGGAAGTATCAGTATTATTCTATTTGGGCATTGAAAGAAGAACATACCAAGTTTTGTATCTCTCTCTCTCTCTCTCTCTCTCTCTCTCTCTCTCTCTCTCTCTCTC